GTCGGACTGGCGAACAGTAACGAATGGAGTACCTCAAGGATCGGTGATGGGACCAATTCTATTTCTAATATATGTTAACGACATGTTTACAGGAGAAGAGTCATACATGTTGATGTTCGCGGATGACGCAAAGTTGATAGGAGTAGGAACAGATGAGGATTGTAGGATCCTCCAAGAGGACTTGAACAGGTTGCAGAGATGGTCAGAGAAATGGCTTCTGGAATTCAACACAAGCAAATGTAAAATTATGGAAATGGGACCAGGTGATAGGAGACCAAAGGGACAGTACACAATGAAGGAGGAACTGCCTATCTGTGATGACGCGAGAAAGAGACCTGGGCGTGGATGTAACACCTAATCTATCTCCTGAGGCACATATCAATAGGATAATGACAACAGTGTATTCTACACTGGCAAAAGTTAGGACATCATTCAGAAACCTAAGTAAGGAGGCAATTAGGGCGCTTTACACTGCTTACGTGAGGCCAGTCTTCGAGTATGACGCCTCATCATGGAGTCCCCATCTGAAGAAATACATAGGAAAGTGGAAAAGTTTCAGAAGTTTGCAACGAGACTCGTCCCAGCGCTACGAGGGATGGGAAATGAAGAGCGCCTGAGGGAACTGAGCCATTCGACACTAGAAAAAAGAAGGGAGAGGGGTGATATGATTGGAACCTATAAAATACTCAAGGGGATTGACAGAGTGGACATAGACGAAATGTTCACACAGAATAGTAACAGAACGAGGAGACATGGGTGGAAGATGGAAACTCACATGAGTCACAGAGATGTTAGGAAGTTTTCTTTTAGTGTGAGAGCAGTGGAAAAATGGTATGCGCTTAAGGAGCAGGTTGTGGAAGCAAATTCTATTCATAATTTAAAAAAAAACGATGGCTCGAAAAGCGGGATCCAAGAGTCAATGCTTGATCCTGCAGACACAAATAGGTGAGTACACACACAAACAACCCAAGCAAATGTAATGAAATGAAGATAGGTGATAGGTGTAGGTATAGCGAGGTATGAACTACGAGGAAAGGCTACGGGCGCTAAACCTCATCTCTTGAAGACAGAAGAGTAAGGGAAAGACATGATCACCACCTACAAAATCATCAAGGTAATTGATTGGGTGGACAAAGACAAACTATTTAGTATGGGTGGAACGCGAACAATGGGACACAGGTGGTAATATAGTTTCTCATTAGAAACTAATGAGCCAGATACATTAGAAAGAATTTTTCCACTGTCAGAGTAATGTAATCCATTAGGCAGCGATGTAGTGGAGGCGGACTCCATACACAATTTAAAATGTAGATTTGATAGAGAAAATAAGTTCCAGAATCTGTACACCCATTGGTTAACAGTTGAGAGGCGTGATGAAAGAGCCAGAGCTCAAATCCGGCAAGCAGGAAAGGTGAGTGCTACTTGGTGAGCACACACACACACACACGATTGGTTGGAACGGTTAAAAATTGGTTAGACGGTTGGAACAAGTTAAATGAGAAGGTGGTGGAGGCCAAGACCGTCAGTAGTTTCAAAACGTTATATGACAAAGAGTGCTGGGAAGACAGGACACCACGAGCGTAGCTCTCATCCTGTAACTGCACTTAGGTAATTACACTTAGGTAATTACGAGTAGTTAACGGGAGGAATGCACTAGGAAGTGATGTGGTGGAGGCTGACTCCATACACCGTTTCAAATGTAGATATGATAGAGCCCAGTAGGCTCAGGAATCTGAGCCTAATGGGCTCAGATAATTGACGATTGAGAGGCGGGACCAAAGAGTCAGAGCTCAACCCCCGCAAGCGCAACTAGGTGAGTACAGCTAGGGGAGTACACAAGCTGCACAGATAGTCAGAGACATGGCTACTGGAGTTCAACACGAGGAAGTGTAAAGTTATGGAAATGGGATTTGGTGACAGGAGACCAAAGGGTCAGTTCACAATGAAGGAAAACAACCTACCTTTGACTATTCGAGAAAGGGACCTAGGAGTGGACGTAACACCAAGTCCGTCTCCTGAGGCACATATAAATCGGATTCCCTAAGCTAGCAAAAGTTAGAATGTCATTCAGAAATCTAAGTAAAGAGGCATTTAAGGCCCTTTACACTGCTTATGTGAGACCACTATATGGAGACCAGTCTTGAAGTATGCAGCCCCATCATAGAGCCCCCACCTGAAGAAACACATTAGGAAACTGGAAAATGTTCAGAAATTTCCGTCATAGAGCGACTGAAGGAACTGAACCTAACTACGCTAGGAAAATTGGAGGGAGCGGGGAGATATGATAGCAACATATCATACCAACATACCAACAACTTAAAGGTATAGACAGGGTGGAAATAGACGAAATGCTCACGCGACAATTTTCACTACAAAAGAACATACCTGAACACAAAACTTTCTAATGTGATCATAACTAAACACAATCCTCACTAACGTGAACATAACTAAACACAATCCTCACTAACGTGAACATAACTAAACACAATCTTCACTAACGTGAACATAACTAAACACAATCTTCACTAACATGAACATAACTAAACACAATCCTCACTAACGTAACATAACTAAACACAGTCTTCACTAACATGAACATAACTAAACACAATCTTCACTAACATGAACATAACTAAACACAATCCTCACTAATGTAACATAACTAAACACAATCTTCACTAACGTGAACATAACTAAACACAGTCTTCACTAACATGAACATAACTAAACACAATCTTCACTAACGTGAACATAACTAAACACAATCCTCACTAACGTAACATAACTAAACACAATCCTCACTAACGTGAACATAACTAAACACAGTCTTCACTAACGTGAACATAACTAAACACAATCCTCACTAACGTAACATAACTAAACACAATCCTCACTAATGTAACATAACTAAACACAATCTTCACTAACGTGAACATAACTAAACACAGTCTTCACTAACATGAACATAACTAAACACAATCTTCATTAACGTGAACATAACTAAACACAAACCTCACTAACGTAACATAACTAAACACAATCTTCACTAACGTGAACATAAGTAATTACAATCTTCATTAACGTAATCATAGCTATATCTTGAGTTGATTTCGGGGCTTTAGTGTCCCCGCGGCTCGGTCCTTGACCAGGCCTCCACCCCCAGGAAGCAGCCCGTGACAGCTGACTAACACCCAGGTACCTATTTACTGCCAGGTAACAGGGGCATTCAGGGTGAAAGAAACTTTGCCCATTTGTTTCTGCCTCGTGTGGGAATCGAACCCGCGCCACAGAATTACGAGTCCTGCGCGCTGTCCACCAGGCTACGAGGCCCCTAGCTATATGCGATCTTCACTGCAAATCACCATAACTAAGCGGAATACCTACTAACGCGAGCAAAATTAAACATAATCTTCACAACACACGAACACAACCAAACAGAATCTTCACAATACATGTGCACAGCCAAACACAATTTTCTCAATTGCATGAACGCAACCAAACACTATCTTCATAGCAGTGAAGTAATCAGAGAATCAGTCAGATTAGCAGTCAGAGAGAAAAGATTGATAATCAAACACTAAAGACTGTGTTGTGTGTGTGGTGTCACTGGCTGACCCCGACCCTGGCAGGCTCTCCTCCTGAAACGATAACACTTTTGTAACTATGTGGTTGGAAGTACCAACAGGTAGAAGTGGAGCCACTTTTTGTACTATTATTTTCAGAATCGGAAAAAAATAAAGTTAAAACCCAAATATTAATACTCCTAGGCCTAGTATAGCACATATATTTACTACAGTCTGCCTCAGATAGCATGTATTAGGCCTCGGATGGTTAGGTTAGATCTTATTAACAACTTATATATATGTAACAAATATCGGATTTGTCCAAATTCCATAATACAAAAGTATGCTTTCTGGTGGTCCACCACGACATATTTACACTTCAGAGTTACTATAAATAATTTAATTTTAGGAGCATAGGGAAGACCCTGGAGCTCATTTGGGGAGGCTCAAGAATGTCTGATAGTGAACCATGTATGACACACAAACGGTAATAACGGATTTAATTGAACCAACCACCTCCCTGCTTAAACTCTACGTTCAGTCTCTCGTCCAGAAAATTCTAAGTTGATAGTTGTGGTAATACTTCCCACATGATGTGGGAAGTATTACCACATAATATCAGTATAACACATAGCGAGAAATTACTGCTGTTTTTTGTGTTAAATAAATCATAAATATAAATCATTTAATTAGCCCAAATGGATTTGGGGCAATATGATTTGGATTTATAGGATTTGGGTATATGACAAATTTGCTCTAGAAAGTGAGTAATATTGAATGTATTCATATTAATATATCTCACAACCTAAATTTAACTACTTATTACAAATCTAAAGTCACCAGTCTGCGGACAGAGTGTATTAAACAATGATTGTCTACATTAAATTAAATTAAATTATGAGTAATCGATTAAACTAAATAAAAACCCTCCTTCCTGAAACAAGTAAAACAAATTTGGAGACGGAGTTCCCTGTTAGCCTTGCTGGCCATCTTGAATCAGGACGGGGAGGACGTGTTTGGTTGAGATCTCACAAACAGTTAACTTTTATGTTGTTTGCTGTAACAGTTGTTGAGGTTACTTGAGTGTAGACTTGTGAGGGTACCTGTCTTATGAGACTTTCACAGGGAGGTGAGGTAAGGCCACACAAACCTCACCTCGGATAGATGCAAGGTTGGCGGGGCTAATCCCTTGTTCCAAGAAGTTACCAGATCCAAGTCAATTAATTCAACGGAATATTAGGGATTGAGGGGTATTACCTTTCACCTCCCTGTGAGAGTCTGGTAAGTAAGGTACCCCACAAGTTTCCACTCAAGTAAATTCATGAACCGTCACATTGCGTGTGTGTGACGACCATGTTACTACACACCATCTCCCAGGATAAGTCTTTCCTGTGATGTTAGGTTCTTGTACATGAGCTCAATATATAAGTGAATTCATCATTGGTTATGACATATGCCATCACCAAAAACCTGGTGAGCACATTTAATATCACCCTTAATATCAAATGATCATAAATCATTCTATTTATAATTTGTATACATTGCATGTAGTATATGTTAAGATGTAATTCATTTGCAGGTAAATTGAGATGTGTGGAGGTTATAACTTTTTGATCATTGCGCAGAGACGCTAGACCAAGTGACTGAATGTTGTCCGACCCTGTTTACTAGACCAAGTGACTGAATGTTGTCCGACCCTGTTTACTAGACCAAGTGACTGAATGTTGTCCGACCCTGTTTACTAGACCAAGTGACTGAATCGAATCCAACCTGACTACCTAGAACTTCTACCACTATTCCAGATAAGCTGTGTTGTAGTTTAAATAATATAAATAATAATTAGTAGAGTTGAATAATAGTCATTTACTTTAACTAAGATACAGAAATAACAACTAACAAGTTAATTCTCATCTAGTTTAATTTATGTAATATAAATCCCCCCCAAGTTTGTGAGGAGTTTATTAGTGGAAAAATATCACAATACAGTCCACTTGCCTAATTAAATAATTTAACAGTAACATACAACATAAATAATATAAATAATTTCATAGATAAATAAATAAATAATTACAAAGTCCCACAGGTAAATTTCCCACAACAGTTACAGAGGAGCTTGAGGTCCTCCATCCTCTGAAGGGTTATTAAGGCCACTATAATACCTTAAAAATTTTAGTTCTAAATAAATTTCGGGACTAAAGTAAACTCTCAGTGAATATACACAGTGTAAGAAGAATATAGCTCCTGGTCTATATTATCCCTGTCAGTAATCTTAATTACTGTCATGGATAAATACTAAAGTAATTATTAATTTACCATGTCATTTTCAGGACGTTCTGTTTACCCTCTTTCATACACCAATTTTCTGACTTTCAATCACAGTTGCTTTAACAGTAATATATCACAGTAATTTGGAAGAAACACCAAGATAGAATATTTTATTAGTAAACAATGTTATGCAAGTTATTGCTATTATATATCTAATAGAGACAGATCTATCTTGAGATGATTTCGGGGCTTTTTAGTGCCCCCGAGGCCCAGTCCCCGACCAGGCCTCCACCCCCAGGAAGCAGCCCGTGACAGCTGACTAACACCCAGGTACCTATTTACTGCTAGGTAACAGGGGCATAGGGTGAAAGAAACTCTGCCCATTGTTTCTCGCCGGCGCCCGGGATCGAACCCCGGGACCACAGGATCACAAGCCCAGCGTGCTGTCCGCTCGGCTGACCGGCTCCAATAGATACTTTGTGAATCGAATAGATACTTTTATGGATCGAATAGATACTTTTAAAAGTTAATCAGTAGTGACCTTAGATATTTTTTCAATTTAGTTTTTGTACTCTGTTGATAAATTGGAGTTTATATTCATGAAATTAATGTATAAAAAGTTATATTTTGATTTATGGAAAAGTTTATGTGCTGACGTTGAAGGGTCTCGTTAGAATGTTTGTGCTGCACAAACCTTCCTGCGTGTGGGGCTTCCCGAGGCGTGAGGCAGGGTGTGGTGGAGGGGTGAGGGAGGTGTGGTGGTGGAGGGCGAGGTAGAGGGCGTGGAGGGTGTTGCGGAGACTGTGGTGGAGGAGCACCTCCCTCACTCCCGCCCTCTCGCCCACGGCCACCACCACTGTCTCCGGCAGCTTCCACAATCTTGCTTCCTCTGCCAACCTGTAATATATAATTAAATATTATGTCTGCTCTTCACACTTTAACAAAATGCCAAATTTCTTTTAAACATAATACGTTAAATGGGATATAAAATTGCAAATTTGACAATCTATACTGTTTGACACTGGTCTGTCACAGAAGGCATAGTAAATAATAAAGAGAGAGAGAGTTAATTCTTAATGTGCTGCAACTCTGTCAATCCTACGGCTCCTTCAGACAAGACTACCAGGCACCCCTGGAAGAATGGTAGGTAGTTAGTAGGCAACTACATGTGAGTATTAATCATCACTGATACCTAAAATTGACTTGTGTTGCAAATTCAAGCGGCGCTGCTGACCACAGAGAATCAGGCAGGCCCACAGGTACATGAACTCTTTCATCACTACAATTTTTTCCCAATTGCGTTACATCCTGCCTTCTTACAAATTACGTCACTTTTGGCTTGTATGCGTTCGGCATAAAAAAACGTAATTTGAAAATTAAAAATAATTGAATTTTTTTTTTTTTTTGTATTCCAAAACAGCAAGTTAAGGTTCCTCTGGTCTAAGGAGAGCAGGAAGTTCTCCTAAGGTTTCAAAACGTCATGGACACTTAATTGAAAGTTTCCTCTCCTAACCTAACAGACTAAGCTAGAAGACCCCAAACGGAAAACGGGACAGTACGTCACTTTCGTGCGGTGATTCCATTTTCAATTACGTCCTTTTTTTAGCCAGAGTGCTCATATGCGAAAAGCGAAGTAATTTGTAGGAGGATGTGTAGCCGTGGTAAGAGTTAAGAGTTTTTTTCAAGGATCTGGATTCTAGGCCCAAATCAGAGCGAACTGCCAGTTACTTTTTTAAATGGTTTAGATTGGAAATACTCAGTGGTGACAAACACTGATTATATTTCAGACTACTGTGTAGTATCCTTATAGCTGTAGGATCTCTAAAGCCTGTATAAATTTATTGAGTACCTTCAGTGCAACAAATTTGTCATCTCATTCTCCTTGTGAAAAATTTCACTCATGTTAATATTATTATTATCTAAGGAATGTATTATTCCATATCATATCTATATTTCAGATTCATTATCTATTGATCATATCTGTGTGGAATATTCCAACAAATAGTTTATTATAATTATAAATTAATTAAATGGACTGTATGAATAATTACAAGAGTAGACTGTATAAGATTTAATGATTAGTTGGATGTTTCCACTTCCACAAAATTCTGCAATCATATTAATTAGTTTTCTCTAATTAATATGATTGCATTGAAGAGAACATGTCTGATCTCTCACCATTACCTGGCGTCCTTGGAGACGGACGTCGCGGAATAGCCGCCCTATGCACCATCCTTTTAAGGATCTGGTGGTGGAGTGATGGTTAGCATGCTGGACTGCCACTTGGTGGGCCAGGATTCAATGCTTCATAGAAAAAGAAGTCAATTTGATCCCATTCATATATTTGTCATTGTACCTCACTTCACTTCACCTCTCTCTCTGCCAATATATGTCCAAAACTTATTGAATTGTAAATCATTCCTTCTGAAGATGTATTAGTATATGAAAGTATTTAAGGAAATTCCTGTTTCAATTCTTCCTCCGTGATCTGACGCTGTCACATTTTTAATCATGTGTTAATTTTCGTTATTTACACACATAATGAGAACTACGCACTCCTTCGCTATGCAGTTCCCTCAGTCTGCTTCCTTCGTGACCATCTTCGCTACTCTACTAGTGAAAGCACATTGCACCCACACCCACCTCAAATTCCTAAAACAATGTTTTAGTGAGCAATTTGTACCCAAGTCTCTGTTACCTGCCCGTCTCATCATATTAGGTGATCAATCAATTAGTAATTTCTGTGCTACCATCTTGAAAAAAACACATTGAAGTTACAAAAACAAGTGAACGTTTTGTTTTCAAAAGCCTGGATGCAGCAAAAAGAAGCTTTCATCACGCAATACCTCTGGACTGGAAAAATCTTCTGATGGATGAAATATACAATGACCTACGCAAAAAAATTAATCAGTTACAGAAAATTCTAAAACGCACTTTAGAAAGTCTGATTAAAAATAGTGATTGGACAAAGAAATCCAATCCAAACAACGTGTTGAATTTGTCATCCAAGTCGATATGGGAAAATGTGCTTACTGATTTGGGTTATGGAATGTCTTTTGCCATTTCATACCAAATTTCTGCAGTTAAGATTGCTAGTTCATTGTTACAGTTTGAAAAACAAAACTATCTCTCTCTCCACAAAACCTCATAGGAACGGATTATAGGCCTCCTATGAGGCCTATCATCAGTTCTGTGGGATCCATTTCTTACAAGCTTTCTAAATGGCTTTCCAAAATCTTGTCCCCATTGTTAGGAACTATTTCCTCTTCTCATTTGACAAAATTCTCTTGAATTAGTTAACAAATTGAATAGTGTTCCTGTCACTCCTGATGTAAAGTTAATCAGTTTTGACGTTTGTTCTTTGTTTACACAGGTGCTGGTTGATGATATTCTTGATTATCTTCCACATGAACTAATGAATCATGTTTTACCTTTTTCTGCTGATATTTTTGTCAATCTTGTTAAGTTGTGCATAGAAGCATGTAAATTTACGTTTAATAATGTGACTATGGAAATGACAATGGGGAATCCTTTATCGCCATTGCTTTCAAACCTGTACATGGAATTCTTCCAAAAGAAATTTGTTTAAAAAATTACCCCTGGAATCATTCCATGTTTTAGATATGTTGATTATATTTTGTGTAAATGGACTACAGATGTAAACACAGACGAATTTGTAGCTAAATTAATGATTAAGTCACTATAAAATTTACTATGGAAACTGAAATTGATAAATGTTTGCTATTTCTTGATGTAATTATTCATAGGGAACATTTTTCACTAAAGTTTAGTGTCTACAGAAAACCTACGAATAATTTACCTTATGTTCATTACTTCTCAGTACATAGATACAATGTGAAAAAATAAATTTTTTCCTCTATGTATCTAAGAGCTCTTCGGGTTGTGAGTCCAGAATTCTTAGATGAAGAGTTTCAGAACATTGATTATATTGGTCTCAAGCTTTGTTATCCACTGAGTTTTTTGGAAGTTTGCCGTAGCAAAGCACGTCGTACATATTATAATGATATATGAAGTGAGAAAATTCGGCCAAAGAATGTGTTATGTTTATCATATCTTTCTTGTTTTGAAAATATGGTCAAGGCCTTGAAACTTTTTGATGTACATGTATTGTTTAATTACGAAAAAACTTTTGGTAAACTATTAGTTCGAAACAGCCCTCGTAGTGATAATTGTGTCATTTATAAAATAACTTGTAAAGACTATAAGAGGTTCTATGTTGGGCAAACGTGTAAAGATTTGAAATGAAAAATTCGCAACATAAATTGTTTGTAAGACATGGTAATTTTTCTAATGGTTTGTTTGTTTATTTCTCAAAAAATTCTCACTAAATTGATTGCGAGATGGCTTCTTCAATAACGAATTGTAAAAGTACTTTCAATAGGAACATAATTGAATCTGCTTTAATACAGATTACAAAATCATGTAATATGAACATTAGCAGTGGTGTATTTAATTTAGATCCATTTTTGATGGTTCAGTTAAATGGGAATTTGAGTAGGATCATTGATACACATTTGTCTCACTAATTCATTGTTAATATTTACTATCTTATACTATTATTATCCATGTATGGGCCTATTGATGCAGCTCCTTTTTAATGGGTCTATAAACTATTAGTGGGTATAAATTAGTGAGTCTCCGATGTGTAGTGGTAAGACACTCGCCTGGCGTTCCGCGAGCGCTATGTCATGGGTTCGTTTCATGGCCGGGGAGGATTTACTGGGCGCAATTCCTTAACTGTAGCCTCTGTTTAACACAACAGTAAAATGTGTACTTGGATGAAAAAACGAATCTTCGCGGCAGGGGATCGTATTCCAGGGACCTGCCCGAAACGCTACGCATACTAGTGGCTGTACTAGAATGTAACAACTCTTCTATATTTCTCAAAAAAAAAAAATAGAAGCTGCCTCGTATGGCCAATAGGCATTCTGCAGTTCTTATGCAGCTCTTATTTTATATTCACCTAATTTCCAGTCATATATTTGTCATTGTACCTCATTTCACTTCACCTCTCTCTCCTGCCTATATATGTCCAAAACTTATTGTAAATCATTCCTTCTGAAGATGTATTAATATACGAAAGTACTTAAGGAAATTCCTGTTTAAATTATTCCTCCGAGGTTTACACACACACACACACACACACACACACACACTCACATATATATATATATATATATATATATATATATATATATATATATATATATATATATATATATATATATATATATATATATATATATATTATTAAATATGACCGAAAAAGTAAGATTAATAATTCTAACACGAATTTTCTCAATCTTTCGTACATTACGCTTCACTGTTGGAGGTAAATCAAAAATCACTTCTCCAAAATTCATTTTTATTTCTAGTCTGACGCGACACGGGCGCGTTTCGTAAAACTTATTACATTTTCAAAGACTTCACAAATACACAACTGATTAGAACTTGCGTTTCCCTGATTTTATATCTACATTTGAGTGAGGTGGGAAGGGTGATGTGGCATTACATTTGAGTGAGGTGGGAAGGGTTATGTGGCATTAACACAAGACAGAACACTAGGGGATATTAATAGGGTATTAAAAGTATCAACACAAGACAGAACAGAAACAATGGGTATTGAATAGAAGTGTTTGTAGAAAGCCTATTGGTTCATATTTCTTGATGCTTCTATATTGGAGCGGAGTCTTGAGGTGGGTAGAATATAGTTGTGCAATAATTGGCTGTTGATTGCTGGTGTTGACTTCTTGATGTGTAGTGCCTCGCAAACGTCAAGCCGCCTGCTATCGCTGTATCTATCGATGATTTCTGTGTTGTTTACTAGGATTTCTCTGGCAATGGTTTGGTTATGGGAAGAGATTATATGTTCCTTA